AACCATTTGAAAAAAGTTTCATTCGAAAACCTCAAACCATGAAGATTTTATGAAAATTCAAAGAACTTATTGCAATAAAACGGCAATTTCATACTTTAACCCCTAATATTAATAATACTTAAGATTTCTCATAGATGGCGCTACGGCTAAAAAGTCGTTGAAAAACCAAATACAAAGACACGACAAGAAACACATTGAAAAATTCATGAAGTCCGCTGGTTCGTTCCGTGGCTTAGTTGGTATAGCGTCTGACACGGTATGCTAGAAGATGTCGGTTCGAATCCGGCCGAATCGAAGTATTTTTTTTCTGAGTGTTCGATCTTTGTATTAATAATTATAACAAACTAGTGGAGTAATTTCACGTAAAAAATTATTGAATGTCAATTAAATGAAAATTTAAAAACTATGAATAGCGACATCTCTAGACTGGGCTTGTAGCTGTAAACGTATCTAACTGGGTAACGAAATACTTAAGATTTCTCATATAGGTACACGTTTTATTTTTGTATTTTTGTTTCTCTTTTTTCTTGTGTAGTGTCATTTGTGGTGTGCAAATAAATGTATTATTTTTCTTTCTTTCTATTTAGATCCAGAAAAAGTAGGATCATTTCCAATTAGCTATACACTTTTAAATTTTCGTAAACGGGGATAAACGCAATAAAATCGATTTAATACGTATTTGCATAGAGGTATTCAATATTCAGCCGTGTGAGGTGGTGGGGTTTCCTGTACGTCTAGCGTACCTACTCTGGGCAACAATCTGCGAGTACCTTAAGTCGACTAAGATATACAGTGGAGATTAGATCGTGAAAATTAGCTGCGCTTGTGTTGAATATTTTTCTTGCCGTTAACTTTTCCTCTCAGTGCTTCAAATTAATAATATAAAAAAGACAGTCACAGTCATCATCAATACTACAACCATAAATACCCTCGATACGACCTTAGGCATCATGAGCAGCAGGAGGCTGGCAACAGTTCCCCTTAGCATAGGTAAGCTTATTCTACTGCGAAAGGTGCTTCCGGAGGCATCGATAGCTTCCACCTTAAAATTCTGTAGTGCCAACAGAGATAGTATGAATAGTTCGACAGGTCGGTTGAGAATCTTACGATAACTCTGTTTCTGTCTGTCGACCGATTCGATTAGACATCGTACGCTTTCTTTTCATTTTTATTCACAATAACCGAATCGAACGTCAAACTGTCGTATTCGAAACCGAACCGAAATGACGTCACACCCGTACGATTACTCGTAGGTACTTCTCGACCGACAAAGGCTACAAAAGTTATTCAGAACACGGTTATCGAACGAAAGTTACCGAACGTCCTATTGTTTACAAAGTAAGAATGTAATATGGAAATCTTTTATTATTTTAAATAAAATTTGGATTTTGTTCAATTTTATTAATTTATTTTAATGCGAGACTAATGCATTCCTATGTTTTATTCCTATATTTTCATTAAGTCTTGAAAATGTTA